TATTTTTTGTTTGTTTTGTTTTGTCGTTGTTTTGTTTTTGGTCTGTTTGGCTGTAGTAAGTAATGATTTGTGAGGCGAGCTGACAAAATGAGTTATTTCTCGCAATCCACAAATGGAGATGTAGGCCAAAACTCAACATTAGGGTCAAATTTGTAGATTTTCTGTTGATGTCATATTATTATCCTTTAACTGTAACCTGTCTTTTATTATTTCCTACTTACAAATTGTAGATATACAAATGTCACCTATAAGCGTGATGTATCTATTTCCATAGGGTTCAAATACGAGAAGAAATTCATTTTGTCAGCACGCTGAACATTTATTTCTGCACTTGCAAAAAAACCTAAAAAAAACCCAACATAATGATATTTTGTTTTGCCGTTGTTTTGTTTTTTGTTTGTTTTGCTTTAGTAAGTAGTGATTTATTTCGGCACTTGCAAAAAAAATAAAAATAATGCTATGTCGTATAAGTCACGAAATGGTGAAATGAAGCGCTCCTTGATTTCGGGGCGTACAGACAGAGTTATAATATACAAGCTAGGCCCCTTTTCGATGAAAGGAACGATCGGTGCTTTAATATCAATAAAAATCTTTGGCCTACTATATTTACACTCTACTGGAATGGGGCAATAAATCTTGAGAGATTCAAAAAATTATAAGGTCTAGGTCTATACTCTCAAAACAAAATGCGCCTCGCGAAATATCACTTCCGGATTTTCTGAAATTACAAAGACAGAACCGTCGGCCTACAAAAGCGATCGGCGAAATAAAGAAATTTAGCTTTTTGCAGCAAAATTGTCTCTAAATTGAAAAAACCAAGGGCGCCATGCTCCGGAGAATATTTTAAAGAATGTTTTGGCGAAAACCGCATGTCGATCGATGCAGCCATTAAAAAGCCTTTTGAATAGCAACATTCAGCCACCGCAAATAGATAATAGATTCCTCAATCATCAATGCCTTTCATCCCTGGCAGGGTATAGGCTCGTACAAAAGCTCTTTTCATTTATCTCTGTCTGAAACCATCCTTCCAAACTCGTTAAAGTTTTATAATATATTGCTTCTTTCTTTCAATTCTTTTTCATCCTCTGTTTCCGTTAAGCGTCGAGGGGAGATGCAATTTTCTATGGTAGGTCAGCTCCACAGTTCTTTCAGTTGTGATGTTATGTTTTCTTAGGGTTTCCTTGACACCCTCGATCCGCCTTTTGTGTGGCCTTCCTCTTCCTTTATAGCCTGAGTGCTTGGTGTTGTAGGCTCTCGAGGTACTCTCTGAAAACTTGTTCATTCGGCTTGCTTTTGATGAAAAAATACCCATCTGTCTTGAAAAGAAGTTGAGATTTGTCATTGAAGGAGGTGGTCAGCTTTTAAAGCTATGGTATCTTTAGAAACTGCACAGTTATCATTGTGGTGCCTCAGTTCAAAATTTTTCAGTAAAACCACACAGCAATTATATTATGTTTTTAAATGGACATAAAAGATACTTAGCCGAAAGATTAAGAGTACATAATACATAACAACAGCAGAACAGGTGAAAAAATGTCGGTTTTTTTTTACGATTTCATTATATTGACGAGCGCCTGGGTTCACCACAATGCCGCACATATTATTGCTAAAGATCAGATTAAGTGTGAACAGAGGGTGCCCACCTCGTGACTCGAAAGAGCTGCGGAATGTAGGACTAACATGATCTAAACAATTACCGAGTAACCAGTTGTTGTAACCATCTCCAGTTGGGGCTATGGCAACACTTTGATGTGTAACTACCAATAAACGTTATCAGAGTGAAGTAACATAATATTTATTTATCTATTTTAAAATATATTTATGTATTCATTTATTCACATATTTTTTTAAAAAATTTATTTACATATAAAACATTCTCCTGCGTGTTTACTCTAGACAAACAGCTAATTTAAAAACCCAAACTGCTGCACAGTTTTCCTATCGATGCCATATTCTTTAACCTTTTATTATTCCATGATATAAATTGTAAAAACTTTACATACCTATAAACGTGAAGTATCTATTGCCATATATAAGGCTTGATCCGAGAAGTAACTCATTTTGTCAGCACGCTTCACAAATAACAACTGCACAAAAAAAGAAGTGTGATCAGAGAGTAACATTCAACGGGAAGAACGAAGAGAGGAAAGAGAGACAGATTTTTCTCTGGAGAGAAGGAGCAAACCACACCGGAGCGCCCACCAACCACTCATATATTTCCCGTGTTCGAATTCGGGTGGCGACCGAAATATTTTTTTCTCTAAAATTGTCCCCTTTCATCTCCTTTCCTGTTCTCTTGCAATTTTCTGTCGTCTGCTTTCGTCTCCACTTTCTGCCTCCAACCCTTTACCCTCCTCTGAGCTCATGACTCTTTCTACAGCCTTTTTACTGCTACTCCTTGGTACCTTCTTACTATTGTCTTTCACTCACACCCCTGATCTTCTGGTAGGGAAAATCTACAGCTTGCCTTCTCGGACAATGGAGACAAATCCCGGAGGTCCTGCATGCAAGTTGCGAACGTTAAAGATCCCTTGGTGGTCTAAAATCGAAGAGAGTAGGCTTTGGCCACCACCGGGGCAAAAAATTCAAAATCTCCTACCAACTGAAAATGTTTAATGCGTCCCGCGCGCTCATATAATATGATCGTATGCAGTTGCGAGCTCCGTAAAACACTTACCAAAAAAGAAGAAAAAAAAGGGG